CCCCACGTTGATGTTGGGAGCGATGCACATTTGTTGTGAACAAATTTATTTTGACCTACGGATTTAGATTCAAAGAGAGCCAAATTTCTAAAAATTGAGCTGCAATCTTAGCAATTGCAGAAATGAAGCCTGAAAAAAATGTGGTATCTCGTAATAATCTCTTCTTTTTTCTTTTTCTTCAACATTCCTACTGGTAGCCATCAAATAGTATGCTTACCTCTTTTTACACAACTATACCCACAGTCGCCATCGCAAAGACATTTTTCTTTAGCACTGCAGCCAGTTGAAGGATCACACTTAGTTACACACATCCGATCGGGCTGTCGATTAGTGCGGAGACATTTCGACTCGCCTAATAAAGGGTATAGGTGAATAAGTATAGGTAAGTAATCGCACGGGATGAAGTAAATTTAAGGATTAATTTCACGCGTGTTTTCAGAAGTTGCAGAAATTGCACGAGTTGCGCAATTATTTTTTAACAAATACAGAAGCCTTGACCATGTTTTGTTGTGTTGAAAAGCCCTTAAGAAGCGGCTAGAGCACGAAAGAAGTGTAGGGAGAAACACAAGATGTAGTCACTCACTTCTTGAGCGCTCTAGCCGCTTCCTACGTTCGTAGGAAGCCATTTTAATTTTCAGGTCGCCTCAATAAATTGTGAAATGCACGAATCAGATGAATGAGATTATATTTTTGTACGACAACGCCAAAGCAATGAAAAGTATTCGCCATTCATTAAATAATAAAATGTTTAGGCAACGTCAAGCCTTTTTTAATGTTTTCCTGATTTTGGTAATTGCCCGGGGCAATTGGTGAACCAAAATTTAAGAAAAATGCCCTCTGCCTCAGCCGATCAGCATTGACTTATTTTGCCCTCTATGCATGTTATAAGTATAAAAATTAAGACACAAATAATATATAAAATTATGGAACAAACCCGCATAGCAATGGAGCAGTTTCAAACGAAAGCGCTGGATATCGCCTCTCCCAAAAATTAGTAAATATCACAAGCAAATGTTAACCTTATTCAAAGCGCGCTTTTAAAATTAAAATTCATTTTTTGAACGTACAAACGGCGCCGATCAAATTCCTAACTGAAACATACTCGATGGCTCTTTTTCTTTCGAAATGAGCGCAATTTACAAAAGAAAGAGATAAGGGGTGGCTGTTGGAGGGGTCATATCTAAAAGCTGAACTGTTCAAAAAAAAAAAAACTTCCATCAATTAGAGAGTACGCCAAATCTGAGCGCGAAATTTTATTCAAATCTGGCGAATTGTTGGGATCAAAACGGCACTCAATATAGGGGACAAAACAAATCAAGATGAAATTGAAAAAGATTAAAAAAAATGTACAGTACAAGTGCACATTCAGCCCATTGGGAAGTCATATTCGCTTTTGAGGGTTTTGCATCACTCCTACCACTTGTGACCGATTAAAACAAACTCATGGAAGGAAATGCAATTTCTATGATTCCAAATTAATTGCCAACGCGCACCACCAACAAGCGTGAAGTGGTCCGTGACACTCCTCAGTGTTATCTCAAGCATGCCTAACGGAACTCATATTTTCTTCTCTGAACTACCATGTTTCCTGCTTTTTCATTCCCTTGTTCCCACGTCCCGGTCAAATCACGTACATTTTCGCAGTTTAGCGCTGCACTAGCTCACCTCACGTAAAGTTTATTTCATATTCCGAAATAACATACCTCTCAATAGGCACCTTATAGGAATGTCTAATGTTACCAAACAGAAATCACTTTCGGTTTCAGCAAATATGGCACCCAATGTAGACATTGAAAAGAAAGTGAACTTTTTGCATCCTCAACTTCGGTCGTTTGGTGGGAATTATGAAAACATAAGCCATCTCTTTTGTTACAAAATTTACGTCGATGTGATTTACGCAACAACTAAGAGAAATGGAAAGCGAATATCAGTTTTTATTTTCTCATGCTGGTTGATCTCCTTTTTCCGATAAAATCTCAGTTAAACCCTGTCTGTACACGATCTCTCTACTCCTGTCTCTCTGCTCCTCGATGTTCTATTTTCAGTTGTGGTCGGGGATAAATGACTAAACTCTTGACCTCTTATTTCATAACATGACAAAACAAATAAATGCATTCAATATATCGATTTTTGGTGTTTTCTTTATTCAGGTAGGACTGCACGGTTTTGTTTACATGACCCTTCGCGTATAAGGCTTAATTTGTTTGTTTGAAGAAGAGAAGCACGATTGCTCAAGGTGACCTCTACTTTGGCTCATAATGGGGAGACTTCCTGTCTGTGAAATCCGCACCAAAACTATGTTCAAGAATCATCAGTGAATACACCGAAATTTCCTTCGGGTTACTTTGCGAGATCACATCTTAATTGATTTATCTTTCCCATTTGCTCATCTAATCGATAAAATCAGTATGAAGTTTCAATTTGAGAACCATATTGCGTTGAATCGCAATCAAGAGGTTATCGCTGATCTGCGTATTGTGACGGAGAGGATTGAACGATTCTTGAGTCGATAATTCGCTTCTGAACTAACGCAAAATGTGTATGTTAAAGCTTGGGAAGAACTACCTTTTATGCGCTATGAATATGCGCCATGGAAAATAATTTTCACGACGTCTGCGTGTAGTACAGAATCTTGTCTCAAAATTCACTCGCAACGGACGGTAAAATAAACTCACCTTTGACTTGATGTATGAAAAGAATAGTCCATAGCAGGCATGAAATGGACAGAATTCTCATTTTTTGTAAAAGAGAAACTGACCAGTTTCGTCAACGGCCCTGTTAAAAGCGCAGATTGGTGACTTATTGTTGGCAATAAACTGATCATCAGACCTGGAAGTCTAAATGCGCTTTCTGTGACAGCAGATGGCAAAAAACCGTCGCTCTCGCGCTTAGATAATTGGAACTGTCAACTGATACCCCTCAAGTCGTGTGAGTTACTGAGTGTAAGAAAGAAGTCGAGTATATGCCGTTTCTCTCTAATTTGGGAGAAAGGACAGAGGACATTATTGCGGTAAAATTGTGAAAGTGATAGGGATATCGTCAAGGAAAAAAAACAAAGGGATATCGTCAAGGAAAAAAACCAAAGAGCTGGTGAAAAAAGATTACATATTTGAAGAAGTATTAAATATTTGAAGAAGGATGAATTAACTGACCAGAATGCTTGAAAGAAAGAAGAGAGAAAATATTGTAATAATAATAAAGCTCAAATAAAAATAATTAACACACTCGAATAAATGGCTCACTACTCAAGCCACGAACACGTTCGTCTGGATCACGAATGTCATATTATTCTATCTACACTTTGTTTGCTGAAGAGTCCTTAGAACTTTTGGCCGTGCATAATGTATTCTAAATTAAAATAAATTGCTGCTTTGTCATTAACAAATGGCTCCAAGTTCATTAGTTTCCACCCAAGATTATGGTACAGAAAAAGGACGGTATCGAGTACGGTATTCAATCTGGTACTGAATACTTACACAAAGGTTGCTAAGTGAAGCCCGTTTCATTAGGATGTAGCAACCTTTGCATATGACTTTTCTTAATTGGACGTATTCACAATTGTAAAACTTAAACATTAAGTGTCTTGGTTCTAGATACTGTAAACAGCTAGACGGTAAATTCTTTAGAAACGATAGAAAAGGTCTTGAGTGCTTAAGAGCAAAATACGCTCTAATTAAATTCTTGAATTGATTATCAAACGTGTGAGGTTTGGCAGACCTCCGCATGTGGCTTCCCTACAGAATCTCTGTTGCATTCGCTCTGCTTTGTTACACGGCACTCCATCATTCCTTGGTTTTGGTGAATTACATTTCCCTTTCACGTGCCTGCAATCCAATTCCACATGTCAAACTAATTTTTGACCAAGGACCCCACCTGCCTCAGCCTCCGTCGACAGCTCTGTAGTAAGACAACATACTGTATCAGAAAATATATCATAATTTCACACCATTTGTGAAGCGCGACGAAACCTTAATTCTTCAACAAAGTAAGGTTTGATTACATTTGTGAAGAGACATTTTCGCAATGCGGAAACTTTTGAGGGTTGGACCTTTTCCAACAAGGCTTAACTTTATCAATCGAATGTGTGACAAAGAAAGAAAAGAAAATACGAAGGAAGACAAAAAGAAAAAAAATGACACGAGGAGATCAGCCCGATTAAATTTGTCTATCATCTGATAAATCTTCTCATATGGCCTTGATCAATATCTTTAGATGGCTTCTAGCACCATGAGGGACCTTTGTATACATTCATATGCATTACCTTATGAACGAAGATAACAGAGGACTAGTCATGCACACTACTTATTTCTCAGTATCGTTGACGTTGAAGATAACCACCTAGCAGTATAAAAATTCCGTTAAGTCGCCTTCCTAGTGTTTAGGTTTGTCAAAAACTAATTCTCGGCATTGCGCAGGCTAATCACAATCTTCACCTCAGTCCCTTTGCCCTTAGGTAGTAAAAAATTCATTAAACATTGGAAATAAATTGTCACTTATGGTCAATATTGGCTCACCTGGTTTAATGCACTTTTGTAATCTACAATATTCCTCTTCAGTTCTTTCACTCTGGTTGCACGATGCATCACCGGTAATAAATCGTAAATAAATGATGCTTGTTTATGGTTATGCGATAACGATTCATCTCTCGACAGAGCACTGTTTATAGGGATTTGAAGATATTTGCACCATTCCAAAAGCTCGAAGTTACTTAATTAGTCATTTTTATAACATTTTGGTTTTTTCATAAATCTGTTCCAAGCACCGGTATCCCATTGAATGGGATGTTTTTTCCGACACAAAGTTTTTTTCCATATGTTTTTTTTTCGAGCTCGTTTTTTTAAACCGTTTGCAATTGTGTTTTGTTCATTTCATGATTTTATAAACTCTAAGACGAGGGGTAGATCCTCTGCTTTTTTTGTGCTTCCTGGTGATGTTGTGCTTCCTGGTGATGTTTTGCTTCTTGGCACTCTCGATTTCGATATTCCAATACTTTCAAATGTTCCAACTCTTGGAGCTCCGCTACCTCTAGATAGTCGTTTTGAACAACTCGATGCCTAAGGGCATTGATGCAAGTCCACTCTCTCGTTGATTCTCATATAATTTTAGGTGAAATGGTTCCTTTTTTTTTTTTAATTGCATTTTCAAAGTCGTTTATTCGCTTTGGAGAAAGGTAATCAAGATGAGGCATGAGTATTTTGAACATTTCAGGCATTACAATGTACAAGATGTTCTTGTATCTGTTCACACTTCAAACTTCTCTATCATACATGTCCTTGTCGATTTTAATTAAAAACGAGCTGACGAATCGGTCATAAAGTGAATCTTTTGGAGTTATCCAAGGAAGCCACAAATAAAATCGATTTACAACGATTCTTGCATCATCGTTTCCGCTTGCCATATGTATCAATTCATCGTCAGTCTATAGCTCTATAAAAACGAACTTAAACAACGAATAAATCGGACAGACCAAACGTCAGTTTGGTACACGTTTAAAAGAGCATCAAAAAGCGGTTTTCTTTTTCAAAAAGGAAAATTCAGCTTTATCGGAGCACACATACCTAACTAACCATACAATTGGGTGGGATAATTCTAAAATTATCGCAACTAATCGGCGTTACCACCAGCGCCTTTGTTTGGAGGCTTGGCATATAAACTCCTCCTACGCTTCTTTAAATCGTGAGGATGGCGGTTTGCTTCCTGACGCCTATTTACACCTCGTCAGAAAAAAGGCCCCTAATTAGTGATCGTATAAAAGGACCTCTTGTTACAGCGTTTAGATCACCCCTGATGAAGGCACTAGACAGGAGTGTCGAAACGTTGGGTTTATGAATTGTAACTTCTTCGGTTACATTCATTAAATCTGTAAACCAGAGTAGCATCAAACCATGTCAAATGACCACAAAATGACAGCCATCTTAGAGAGCATTCGAGCATAAACTTTTTTATCATAAATCATTCATTGAACATCAATGTTCGTTGGAAACATTCAGCTTTACTTTTTTTTAGGTATCCAAATTGACACAGAAATTTGGATCGATGTTGATAATGGAACGATATTAGAGGGAACCAAAAATTATTTCATTATCATAGTCTGATATATCAAATTATTTTCTTTCGTGATTTTATCTATTTCTTGAAATATAAGGTGTATTTTCCATCTGATTTATTGTCCATCTACATGTTAATATAAAAATGACCTCATTAATGAGACATTTTCGGTTGTATATACTATTGCTATGAATCTTATATCGATTTTCATGATAATTCATATACTACTCTGCTCTTTCATTACCATGAACTAAACCACAACTCGAGCATAAACGTGTGTCATTGTCATGAATAATTTCCATCTTATAACAACATGGTTCTTCCTTGTTATTATTTACATACTCTTCTATTTTAAAGTTACAAAAAGGGCATGTGAGGCAGTCATCATTTTTTATTTCATCATAAATTTCAAAATTACAATGGATCCTATAAAATATAATGACATTAATTTTATGTAAAAGAAAATGAGATAGAAGAACGAGATGTATCGTTTGACATTTTTCTTGGTTTTTTTGTGATTTCGCAAAATAATGTCACAGATGTTTCTTTTTTTCTTGAAGATTTTTTTTGGAAACTATCGTTTTATTTTTTTTACAAGAATTATGATTGAAAATTTTCTTATGCATGAAGTATCACTTTTTAGGTTTTTTAAAATAGTTTCCATCAAATTTTACTTAGTATTGAGTTAACTTCGAGATCATTTTCAACTTTCTATACTACTCACGCGCCCCACGAGTCATCAACTGAAAAAAAGAAAGAAATTAGATATTCAGAGATCGTCACATTGTTGACATGAGAATAATCTGACAGTTGAAAGGATTCGCCTTGGAAGAAGGTACTGCCCAGTCAAGACGTGTGCATTCCTCCTGTTCAACTCCTAAAAGTCTTCCTCCCGCGCCCAATATAGGAGGTTGAACAAAGGATGCCATATAGAGAGGCCAGGAAAACTTGCTTGCTCATGCTCAGAGCGCCATCTGCTATTAGCCCCTATCTAATGCACGCAAAGGAGGCACTAAACTTCAAATATGTGTAAACAAGCCTATAATTCTATGGAAATTTTCTTTCTGTGTGTATTCCGCTAAAGTATCATAACAGTCATGAGCTAACCAAGTAAGCCAGTGAGGTGAAGTTACTCAAAAAACGGGATTCATCTTTCTTTCAAGTGCTATTATCTGAGTAATCTTGGATCACTCCTACAGATCTGAGTTATACTAATGAAACACTCTCCTAATATGTGACAGAAAAATTTAAATCACTCAAAGACTTAATTGGTAAGTTGAAATTTAGTAACTAACCAGGGGCAGAGCAGCCATATAATTCCAGTCGGAGACAGCAAACATTTATAAGAGACGCGTCGCCATCCAAAGATAATGGAAACTTTGGGTAGATACGGACTGAACGTGTTCTAATTCGAGGTTGGAGCGCAATAGCGTTTAAAGATGTTACGCCAACATTTCCATCAAATGTCTATACATCGAAAGATAAGAGTGAAACACGATAATATTTCCTAGTCATAAAATTCATCACAACGTCTTGATTACTACAAAAAAAAAAGACCCAGTTAAAAGATAAATCAGATCGACTCCCTTAATGTCGTTATTTTTTCGCGTAGTAACTCAGATTAAGGTAATCGAGGGAGGAGAGAGTGGGGCGGGGGGACGGGGTCTTTCAGTGCATGGTAGAAACTTGTGAATAATTGCGTTTGTCACTCGAACCGTACTATGTGCTTCTTTGGGCATGCATATTACATTGTGCGTGTAATATTCGGATGTCGGTACAAGCGATATGGATTCGACACAGGATTTGTTTGTTTATTACTAACCTGAGTTCCGTCCGTTTTCCTGTAAACGATCCATTGTCCATCCTTCTGGTATTGAATTTCGTACTTCGTTGCCCATCTCAAGTCCTTTTTGCTTCCCTGCGTCTTAATCAAAGTAAGAAACTTTTCCTCGCCCAGCAGTATTTCTATGTAGGGCAGATTGTCGGTCGGAGCCGAGCACCAGGCCCCCTGCACACTGTCCAGTCGCGCAAGGGAAGGGACATGGTTTAGACTTAATTGCGACGATGCTGTGATGCTGCTGTCTTGAATTTTCTTGTTGTGTTTTCCCAGGAAGGCATTGCACGCACCTTTCAAAGGAAAGAGCCGAATTTCAGCGTAAACACCCCGCGCGGGATAAACGCCTTTGTTTTCATTAGAGTTCAGATGTTCGACGCGAATCCATATCAATGAAGAGATGCGTCCTAATTTGTACAGAAGTGGCAGCATACACTGACAGGGACCTCAGGGATCCGACTCTGGCTTTTGGCAAGTTCAAGGAAACATTCTAATTTGTAAGGGAAAATGCTGCGGAATTTAATCTTTCCTTCCCTTATGCCTATATGCCAAAATACACTAAGGTAACGCGTATAGGATAAAATAGGCTAAGCGTTGCTGGGAGAAACCTGACATGAAGTTTTGAAACTTACAAACTGATTTTCTGGCTCACCCCCACGCGTTCTCAGTCACGTTTGTTAAACCATTTTAAGCTTTCGTTCAACAAATAAAAAACTGTTATCCTCTACCCCTTTTTAATCTTTTATTGAATACTTGTATTTAGAGAGATGATCATAACAACGCGCACAATGTGTGGGCGAGCTCTGAAACTAAGAAACCTATTTTTAATCTCAAATTTTATGTTCTTGCTATGGAAAATTAATTGAAGTTTTGAAAATTGTTTTGAGGTTGACGTCGCCTTTGATAGATTCCGAAACATACTTCGGTTTGTGGTTTGTAGAGATAAGCCTTGAGGACGAAAGCCTACCAGACTGTACAGAAATGACCCACCTGTACATTTGAAAGGCAGCACGGTCCACGAACCAAGGAAACACATTTGAGTCGCCATCCCTTCTTGGTTGTAACCTTCATTACATTTGAATGTGACTTTATAACCAGAATGGTATTTATTGCTCGGATTTGAAATCCTCGCGTTTATAGGAATAGTTGGGGGTTTGCAGTCTTGCACTAAAAAAATTAACAAGAAAAGATGATCAATCTAAAGGAGAATCTTTGAATCCCGTTCAAAGCCATCTGTTTCAAATCGGACGGCGCCGGGGTAGAGTGCATGAGAATTCGGGACGGAAGCATCCAAATCCGATAATCATATTTCTGGCTCAGTTGCAATAGACAAGATGGGAGTTTCGATTTTCGGACTGTCTTTTCGGAATAAAAATCAAGGCTTGCTTGCTTACGTCTCTCTTAATCTTTTTGTTATACCTTTTGGCTAAGCATTTTATCCGTTTGTATACATGTTAATTAGCCCATCCTGTTGGTCTCGTTAACATTCGTCAGGACAATCGAATTTTCTCTCAAAAGCGAGGTCAGGAGGGCTCTAACACATGCATATAAAGGAAGAGTAATCTTCCTCTGTTATGGAGGAGATCTAAATTAGGAATTACATAGAACGCAAATCACCAACGTTCAGTTTAGTTCTTAGACTCAGAGACAAGGTTTTGTTTGAAGTTAAATTGCATGCCCTATACCTATAATTCATTTATTCCAATATTATACTACAGCGTGTAACCGTAAAGTCTAAACAAGGTATTACCTACTCCCCCCGCCACCCCCCACCCCCCACCATCTAAGATGGATCAACAATTAAGCCTACACGAACTTCGCAATGCAAAAGTTTACTCACAGCATCTAGGAGTGAGGCCTTCCCAGCGTTTCTTAGCGGTGCATCTCTTGACTGGAGCTGTATTCAAACTGTATCCTCCATTGCAGGTGTAATGAGCGGTTGAGTTGTAACTTGTGTCATTATAAACGACGTTGCCATTGCTGATTGACGGTGGATTTCCACAAGACATTCCTGTTTGATTTTATTGGACAAAAAAACATATGAAACGACAAATCATTTAGTTCCATGCACTAGTTCTGTTCAGCTAACAGATACAAAGCCGGCGTAAATACAGACACCGAACGTGTACACAGAATGCCACTAAAGTGGAACGGCTGATTCAGATAACCTGTGTAAGAAACTTTACTCTCATGGCGAGTGGCGTATAGCAGAGAAAAGAAAGAGATGAAATTGAAATGATATAGTTCGGGACAGTACCAATTATCACACAAATTGAAACATCAAAGGTTCTTAATCTTAAAATAGCCCAATAATATCACATTCGATAGACACTACATCCCTTTTCATGTCGAAACAACCAACACACGTTCCTCTCTGTCAAACTAAACAGGAGTTTTGGAACAAATTACCCTTTTATATTTTTATGCTAATACGTCCCTTCGAACTTCATAGAGATTCTCGAGATTCACGTGAATAATTCATTCGCAAATTTGAATAACAAATAAATTTTTTCTTTTGATAAGAATTAGGATTTTCTTTTATAAGACCGACCATTGTTCTTTGTTAGCCATTTTCTTTGTATCTGAACGTACAAAATGTTTCACACTATTTCGTCACATCAAATTAGCTGATAAATGGTAAAGTCCCATTTTTATTCAGTCGTAAAATGCGTATGAATACAAAAAAATGCGGATGCTGAAGGAGCTCACAACATATGGCAACACCGAAGTTTCTTTCTTTTTTTGCAAACTTTCACGACTAAATTACTAATTTTTTCATTATAATCAAAGATTAATATATATTCGTCTGCACCAAGTCCATTTTAAACTGATATTATATGGCCTCCTCAACTGCGGAGATAAGAATAAATGGGATAATTTTTACAGAAACTGTGGTGCTTCGTCGGTGGGAGAGTATAACAAGGTAACTTGGTATTATCAACTCAGTTGATAACGTAGAGTGGCCGCCGTTAAGGGTTTCAAAGCTGACGTTTCGAGCGTTAGCCCTTCGTTAGAGCGAAAGTAGAGGGGCTAATGCTCGAAACGTCGGCTTTCAAACTCTTAACGGTGGTCAATTTGCGTTATCCACTCAGTTTGTAATATCAAATTAACTTACGGCGATGAGCGCAATGTACGAAAGAAAGGGATGTGAAGTGGTTGTTGGCCGGTTCATATCTTTAAAATACTGAACTGTAAAAAAAGAAAAGAAATTGGAAAAAAATCTCCTACATGTTTAAATCAATAAGAGAGTACTCCAAAGCTAAGCACGAAATTTTATTCAAATTTGGCGATTTGTTGGGATCAAAACGGCACTCAAAATAGGGGCGTCATTGTTTCACGCAATTTGGCGCTGCACTCACCTCACTTAAAGTTCATTACATATTTCGAAATGACATAACTCTCAGTTAGTACCTGATAAGAATATCTAACGTTACAAGACAGAAATCACTTTCCGTTTCAGCAAATATAATACCCAGTGTAGACATCGACAAGAAAGTGAAGTTTTTCCATCCTAAACTTTAGAACAAAATATGTCACAAGTCTTGACTTTAGATGCAATGAAGTGTGTGGCCCAAACGGGTTTGCGTCACATGTTTTGCGAACATATGTTTGATCATTTTTTTTCGTCTTTCTAGCTGAGGAAATTTACCAAACTTCTGCGGTTATAATTGAAAACTATGTGCCTCGTCTTGTATAATAATAAGAAATTCTAAATATGTATATTTTAAGATACTCACTTTTGCAAACTGGAAGAGCTGAATCCCAGACTCCATCGTTGCATGTCAGACGAGGATTCCCCACCAGACTGTAGTTTTTAGTATAACATTCATACGTGACCACCTGTCCGTGAGAAAAATCTGTACCATTTCGTCTTCCTCTGTCTATTAACCCAGGGTCAGTACAAGTGGCTACGAAAGAGAACAGCCATGCTCAATTAAAATGCATTAATAGAATTACTTCTAACTTTTTCAAGGTGATAATGGTAATTGAGAGTCCATCTTCATGTTAGCACAGAATGAGTACATACCCTTGCACGAGGGAATGCTAGCGTTCCAAAAGCCATCGTTGCAGTGCAGAATGTTGGTGCCATCCAGAGTGTACGGTGCATAACAAGCGTACTCGACGTGGCTATCATGTGGTAAGAGTTTCCCTCTAGGGAAGTTTTCGTTTGGTGTGTATCCATTTTTAGGACTGCCTTCAAATTTGCATTTACCTTCAAAAGTAAAAATGTTTTTTGGCAAGTTTGTTTTGTGCGCATTGTCCTTGCTTTCTTTCTCGCTAGGTCATTCAGAGCGTATTGACAGAATTTTTAAATTCCTTGAAATTTTGTTTCAGGGCTAAGGCATGGTTTGAAGATCAAGTTTCCTGGGCTGCTTTCTGTTCATGAACATTTTTCTCGCTTAAAGTTTGTCTTGCACGATTCTTCAATTTTATTTCGCTTTTTCTCCCTCCCTCCCTCATAACCTAAACTTAACGGGTCGTTGGTTATCCTATTAAAGAGGCGATTATTCATTATTTCAAATTTGAATATTTTCAACTCGTATTCTTTCAGAGTCATATTACTTCCTCACAATTTAAGTAATGTAATTGGGTGCTAAACGAACTGTGAATTACCAAAGAATGGATCAAAAGGGTTACCGAAATTATCTGTCGAAACCTCTAATATAACACTATACCTTTACAGAGAGGGACACTACCGCTCCAAACGCCATCCTTACACCGTATAGTATTGTTTCCTATTAACTCGTGGTCTGTGTTGCACGTAAAATTTATTATGCTACCTTTCTCGAAATTGTTGCCGTAGCGTTTGCCATTCAATGGTTTACCAGGATCTGGACACATGGCTGTATTAGTAAAGTAGGTAGGGGACAAAACAAAAGGTTTCAAAGATCAAAAAAGAAAGGAGAAAGAAAGCAAGCACAGGATGGGGCTGTCACGATACATCTACAATGTACAAGCTATAACCACACTTTGGAGAAGACCAAAAGATAAAAGAGAGATACAATTTCTACGTAAAAACAAAACAACTGATATCGCTCGGAAATTCTTTTTCATATGAATTAGAACTCAAAGGAACATCTTATTCGAATTTTCTTACCGACACATTTAGGACGGTTACCACTCCAAACGCCATCTTTGCATTGTATTTGTCCTTTTCCTTCAAGCTGATATTTTTTATCGCAGGAACATGTTACCCACGAGTTGTGTTTAAGGTCCCACCATTGCCTACTGAGTGGGGCAAGGAAATCTAAAAAGCTATTAATTTAGGCGGTCACTAGTCTAGTCATTAAAACAAAAATATTTCTCAAGGGCACCTTTTTTCAGAAGAGCTGGAACACTCACCTTTACATTCAGGCTCGCTGGAATCCCACACTTTTCCAACACAACGAAGTTTCTTTTTACCAATCAAGTCATAACCGCTGTTGCAAAAGAATTTTGCTTCATCTCCGTCAAGGAAACGTTCTGGGGGCACCTTCTGATGCAATTTTCCGTTCTGTGGATCTCTCGGTGTTGAGCAAATGCCTGATTAATCATAAAGAGAACGTTGGTTAAGTCATCACGAATGCAAGTGAATGCATGAAGTTGCGAAAAAAACACATTTCTAACCTTTGCAGACTGGAGACGGCTTATCCCATTTACCATCATCGCATTTAATCGAACGGGCGCCAACTCTTTTATAGCCAGAATCACAGTAAAAGTTTACAGATTTTCCATGACTGAAGATATTTCCAACTATTTTGCCATTCACAGGTATGGTGGGCCTAGCACATGGTGCTATGGTGTCAAACATGTAAGAATTACTAATTTTAGCTTTCAGGCAATCATTAAATTGCTCTTTGCCTTACATTTTAATGGGAATTATTGTCTTTTTATTAGTTACCATGTGGCAGTGAGCAATAAAGACATTTTCCAAGAACTGGACAAGAACTGTGATATTTATAGGTCAGCGTCGGTTTAATCACTGGGAAAATTGTGTTCTCTATATTACTCATTTTTATTTCAGTTTACTCCCACGGGTTAAAGCGTTAAAGCTTTTCATGCCTACAGCTAACATTAAGTTGTATAGTACTTCTTGATTTTTCGTTACTCTGTTAAAATTGTCATTAATCGAAAAAGTCTATGAGTGCATTCTTCTTTTCCTTCACAAAGGTTTACAATCAGTGTGCTAACGCACCCCATTCCAACGCTTGACTTGAATCTTGAATTTTTCCGTCTCCAAATCAGATTGCTGTTTTCCTTTGCAATTGCTCCAGAGAGGTCTAAATCTTTTTGCACATATGCCATCTTAACCGTGAAACTTTATCTGGTACGACATTGAAATGATTTGGGTTGCCACATAAGAATTTCAGTCATCAAGCCTTTCGAACAATGAAAACAGTCTTTTTCATTTTTTCTGTTTAAATTTATTTATCACCGTTTCTTGAGTTTGTTTCTATTTACATTAAATAAGGTTAAAATTCTGTAGCATATCAAATGCTATTATTGAAATATTCTATACGTGACTTCTTTAACTGATCAATTTTCTCTTACGTACCTTCGCATGTTGTAAGAGAGCCACTCCATGTTCCATCACCTAAGCATGTCCTTACTCTTGATCCTTTCATTTCATAACCCGTCTCTGTGCAGTCGAACACTATTCTATTTCCATAGGTAAACGCTACTTGCTCTATTATATCTCCATGATCTGGCTTTTGTAAGGGGCCACAATCCACAACTTCCGAAAGAAAACAACAACAAACCAGAATGACATATAATATTAGATGTTATTTTCTAAATGTGGGAGACGCGATGGCCTTGACTCCGCTGTGCATGTTTTTGGACAAAACACTTTTCTTTTAACAATGTTCCTCATACCCAGGATTATAAATGAGCATCGGCGAATTTTGGGGGTAACCTTGTGATCAACTGGTATATTGCATCCAAGCGGGAGTAGTAATGTTCCCAGTCGCTTCATACTATAGAAAGCGGGATAAGCTCCAACAGGCCTCTTGGCTTTAGTGCAGACTTTTTCTTTACCTACTAAATTTTTTTTCTTTTTGAATGCGTATTTCGTTTCTCGTGCGTTTAAAACAGTCTATGACTCTTTCGTCAATTGCCATAAACTATTCTAATCTTCACTCACCTAAAATTGCTGTTTAACTGCTAACACTAGACTAATAAATGTATAAGGCAGCTACAAAATAATTCTCAGGAGATTTCCGAGAAAATGTAACATAAAAATTTACGCGTTCCTTGTTGCCTTAATTAAATAAATAAAACGAAAATCAGATTTATTTCAAAGTAGAATCTACGTTCACAGTGTGATTTTTCTCTAAGGACTAGTGGTTGATCCGCTATTCCAAAACGTGACTTTCAAATCCATGTTCACATGCATCGCTCTCGCCTGTGTTTAATTTGTGGGAAAGCAATAGTAAATTTGAAAAAAAATATATCTTCCACACAAAACTGTAATACTTACATGACTAATAACAAACACGTACGAAATGATCTCAATATTTATATTATCGAATATCTTACCTTCACAAATAGGGTCTTTATCGCCCCATTTCTCGTTAGCCTGGCATGTTCTATAAGATGGTCCTTTAAGATTGTAGCCTTCATTGCACTCGTATCTGATCTTTTCTTTAAAGGAATATACGTATCCTATGATCTTTCCGTTAGGGATATCGTTTGGGCGGCCACAGTTTTTAGCTGATGAAATTAATAAAAATCTTAGGCAAGTACTGATTTCTGTAAATGATTTTTGATTTCAATCATACAACCGTGTGTTTCTTTTTCACGATGTGCAACATTATTTTGAGCAAGATCCATTTTGAGTTAAATTGCTGGGTGGTTTTGCCACAGACACAACGCTGGGGAAATCAAATGAAGAATACCAGGGAGCAAAAATGTGAAAAAAAAATCCAGCGTGATCTTACTATAGGAATTTTTCAACGCTTTAGGAAGGTTAAATTTCCAAAGAGTACAGCCCTGTTCAACGAAAAGATGGACAACTAAACCAACAATTTTCCGTCTTTCTTGTAACCTATAGCGTAAAGAAAAGAGAGTCGATCTTTCCTTTTCTTTTCCTTGTTATTTGTTTTTCTAAGCTGGAATGCACTTAAAACCATGCATGTGCATCAGTGCCAAGTGAAAACGCGTAACTCGTGTATCGCTCAGTTATGACCCAAAGATCTGGCGTTTGTTTTTAGATATCTTAGTGACTGAGTTTGGCGAGTCAGCACAGATTGAGTATGAACTGTAACTCTAAACAGACTAAACTCACGTGAGCAAGTGATGTCTCCACTCCATGTGTTACCTTTCTTACATTGGTAAACACCAAGTCCTGACTTAAAATATCCTTCCTTGCATTTCAATAGCACTCTGTCACCGTATTTGAATTCCCTATCCATTGACCGAGGGTAGATAACAGCAGCTTCGTCTGGGATGTTCGGCTTGTCACATAAGGGAGCTACACAGAATTATAATTAAAGAACACATTATGTTATCGTTCAAAGAGATTCAAACTTATTTGGTTTTAGGATATGGGGCTATTGTCTTAAAAATAGCAACCAAAAGTATTTGCAAAGTGACATTCAAACAAAAACCATGGAAAGAAATTATAGAACAGGGAAAGGAGGTATCAAAACAGAGCTCGTGAAAGAAAAAATTAGAGAACTGAGTAAAATTTGAGTTTCTATCCAAGTCGTGATTACAAGATATAGTTAAGAAGTGGACAGATCGGGAAAATTTAGCCGCCCAGTAACTCCTGGTTCATATTTTCCCTTTCATCGATTCCTTTTGATATGATGTTCATAAAGGCTTCATTTCTCCATCAACAAGAACAACTACAGGCCGCCAGCAGAGAGGTTAAGCATGTCGTTTACAGCAAAAGGCAAAAATTTTACTTCTTTCTGTCTGCATACCTTCAGATTGTTCAGCCGTCTTTTCGCTAAACCGAAATATTTGCATGAATCGTGATTGCGACTTGCGAATTATAAAAAAAATTAAGTAAATCAAAGTTAATTTGATCTTTAAACTCACCAACGACCGCGATTTATTTATTTCAGCGGTTCATTTGACGACCAAGCATAGTTAAGTATGAGGAATGAATCCCGAATGAATTACTTACGTGAATGAATGCATTTTGGCTTTGGAGCACTCCATTGTCCGTTTTCCTGGCACCGTATTCGAGGAGTTCCTACCATTTTAAACATGTCTTCATCAAAACACCAGAAATGAATATACTTCACACCCTTAATACGTTCAATTCGTCTGTTTCCAAAAGAGATATGTCCTGGATTCTGACACAAGGTTCCTGTCAAGAGCGAAGAAATGATCCAATATTTATGTCGGTGATTTAAGAACTGAATTGTTTACTGTACCAAATGACTTTCAGTGAATGAACGAGCATTTGGCGAAAAGATTAGCTAATCTACTTTTACCTTAAGAAATGACAAAGAATGACTGAACTAAACAACGAACAGGCCAAAGATAAGCGAACGGATAAAATGTGAGTAAATGGACGCACGGACGGATAAATTGTAAAGTTGTGACAGGGCCGTGGGAAAAAATTAAAAAAATATAAAAAATAAAAAAAAAGGCTATCCTGAGAAAGAATTGTAAACTATTTAAATATGTATGGCTACATAATCGGAAGGACGGTCGGATTGATAAATTGTTGGAACACGTATTGAATTTGATGCATAATACTTACTGCATCTCGCTTTCGCTCCATCCCATTTTCCTGTGGCTCTACAAGTTCGTTCTACCGAGCCGCGGAGTCTATACCCTTTCTTACACTCATATGTCAACACGCTGCGAAAGTAGCTGCCGTTGCTGAAGCTAAAACGACCATTTTTTACCTTAGGTAAGTTTTCACATCTGAGGTCTACAAGAAAAAAAGGATAATTCGAAATTTGGGCATTCGTCGTCCTCTTCGTTGATACGATACAAAGAACAAAATTATTATATGATCAGGAGCCTATATCTTTTTCTCGACGTGCATTTTCCATTGGAAGGTTTGATGGCGTAGTTCTTACCAGCCACTATCAGTAAAACCCCAGCTATAAACCCTGGGGTAACAATACTCTCACACGAGCGGGTAGGCCTGATTCAGTAAGGCTTGCAAGTGTAAACTATCGAGCTTAGTAATCTCACCTCGAATAAAGCGTTGAGAGCATATAAAGTGATTCTTCCTTTAACATATCCACAGAATTATCTGAAGAACTAAGTATAGGTAACTGTATCCAGGTGGCAAAAAGTGGGGTAGTTATCTGTTGATTAAGATATCATGCCTCGCCTAAAACGTAATAGGAATTTCTACGTCACTTTCGTCGAGTCACGCCGGTGGCTGGCCCATCACGAAAAATCTTGGTTATCAAATTGCGTGACGCAAACGGGGAAAACAATGTCTTATCAAGAGTCCTTGTTGATAGACACGTTTGATTAGAACACATAGAACTACTCTCTTAGCATAATGGAAAATGAATTAAACGATTATATTAAAACGTATTAAACGTAATCTTCGTCGTGTTTCCTGTTTGCTTTTTTGTGATGTTTGAGAGAAATCTTGCTGTTATCTCTGAATACATTACAGTTCCGTAATTATAATAGATAATTCTGTATATGTCGCATAATACATAACTTTACGAGTATAATCGTAAAGATATGTTCTCTAGACAGAGTACTCTAATTTCTACATGTGTGTACTTCTCTCAAAAAGCGCCTACGTGAATATATTCCATGTAATCTCGTTAAAGTCCAGCCAAGAAACAAGACATGTTCATATATCCTTGCTTTAAATTTTTCGTTTGATTTCTAGAAATCTTCGCACGATCATATCATATCCACTCACTGTTTTTAACGCAAATCATTCCACAGTCTCCATCACATAAACATGTTCTATTTCCTCGGCAATCTCCGTCAGTCGAGCAGGTCTTGCCACAGAATCGTACCTTATTTGTTCTGGGGCAGCCTATGAAAACGAAGAAGTCGATTAAGAAGAAACTGTGAGGATCTTAGAGTATCTAATGAACGCATATTTACCGCTCTGCCTTGGTTTGCCCTCAATGACTGGATAACAGCAAAGGAAAATCGCCCCCAAGAGAAGTGTTTTCCACATTGTTCTATATATCGATTCGAATTCTACACGTTTATAGCCTCCGTTCCAACGCATCAATAAAACGCTTCGACAAAATGAGTTCCTCAAGTTACGGTCAACTCAACCGGAAATGATATTATTACTAAGAAATGGCTATGTTCTTTCACAGCTAGATATGTCTGATAAGCTGCGGCAGTTGTCGGGAAAAAATGAGAGAGGAGGGGAAATAATTATGTACACAAGTTGCTAAAGAGTGCCAGTCGTGATATGGGAGTCGACAGAACCTCACCGTAAACTTCTATAAAACGTTAGCCATCCCTCTGGGGCAAGATTTGGCGGCACGCAAGGAGAGTCATCACGGTCACGCGTGACCGTGATGACTTAGTTGACACAGGCAAAGGTAACGCGCGTGGAGGGGAAAATACCGAAATCGCTTAAGGGTCGAGAAGCTGAATTCTACGATCCTCGCAGCTAAGAACACTACTGAACTAGTAGTTGAAAATAGGACCTGAAAAAATTCAGGCCCGCACGGGATTTGAACCCATGACCTCTGCGATACCGGTGCAGCGCTCTACCAACTGTGCTAACAAGCCAACTGGGAGCTGGAGAATATGTAAGGTCCAAATAAACCATCCAAGTGATGAATAATGATTTTCGATATATGAAATTCATATATTTGCACTGCGCTGAAGAAACGAATTTAAGAGATCTTCGCAGCTAAGAACACTACTGAACTGGTAGTTGAAAATAGGACCTAAAAAAATTCAGGCCCGTACGGGATTTGAACCCATGACTTCTGCGATACCGGTGTAGCGCTCAACCAACTGAGCTAACAAGCCAACAATACTGGCCCTGATAATGATTACAAATTCCTCAAATATTATTGTTGCATCCGTAGCTTCATTTTTCACAAATCATTTTGTACAGTTGTAATCGGACAGTGTAATCGGACAGTTGGCTGTAATCGGACATCTGTGATCGCCGCTTCGTGGTCGTCCGATTTTGTTAATCACTCGTATGATTACAGACCAAATGAATGAGTTGCCAGTAACAGGATCCTTTTATTTTGCAAAGATTTCTGGGATCGCCACGGGGCGAACATTGCAACTGTATGGCGAAGGATTGTTTCAAGGTAAAACAAAAACGATTATGGGGAGAGATCATCGCTTTTTCGCCGCTGATTTATCAGAAATAAATTTAAGTAATGTTGATACACAGGAAGCGTAAGCCTTTGTTTGAATCACCATGAAATTTGAAGTAAAATCCACCGATAAACTTTTCACCATGCTCAAGGTTTTTTGCGAAATTGACATCGTGAAATCGTCTCAGGCTTAAGGAGCGATGCACAAGTGAATTCATGCTCACAGTTTCTCCCGGGCTGAAGATGGATTGATAACGACAAAAGGTGCAAATTATCAATCATTTTAGACTAAATTAACTGACTAGAACTCTTGAGGGAAAGAAGAGAAAATGCTGCAATAATAGTAAAGCTCAAATAAAAATAATTAACATTAACACACTCGGCGAATAAATGGCTCACTACTCGAACCACGAACACGCTCATCTGGATTACGAATGTTATATTATTCTATATAATTTATATTTATATTTATATATATGTTATATTTATTCTAAACTTTGTTTGCAGTTGGGAGTCCTTAGGACTTTTGGCCGTGCATAATTTATTCTTAATTGAAATAAATTGCTGCTTTATTATTAATAATTGGCTTCATTTGTTTCCGCCCATGATTATGGTACTGAAAAAAGACCGTATCGACGTCGGTATTGAATATAGAAATGAATACATCCACAAAGGATGCTAGTAATCATGAATTTTGCCAGATCAGTTATCAACTATAGCTTATCTTATCTTTCTCATTTGCTCATCCAGTCGATAAAATCAGTATGCAGTTTCAATTTGAGAACCATATTTCGCTGAACTGCAGTCAATAGCTTATCGCTGATCTGCGTATTATGATGGAGAGGATTTGAACGATTCTTAAGTCGATGATTCGCTTCCGAACTAACGCAATTATTTCATCTAAATTGAAATAAATTCCTGCTTTATTATTAATAAGTGGCTTCATTAGTTTCCGCACATGATAATTGTACAGAAAAAAGACAGTATCGACCTCGGTATTGAATTTAGTAATGAATACATCCACAACGGTAGCTAAGTAATCATGAATTTTGCTAGATCAGTTATGAACTATAGTTTTTCTTTTACAATAGAATACTGAACGAAGTTACGCATTTAATTAGGATGTAGCAACCTTTGCATATGACTTTTCTTATTTGGACGTATTCGCGATTGTCAAACATTAACATCAGGTGTCTTGGTTTTTAGTGAAGAAACAGCTTCTAGATACTGTGAACTGCTAGACGGTTAATCCTCCAAAACGATAAAAAAAAAAGGTTTTAGTGCTTTAAGCGCAATCTGAAGGTCTAAAAGCTCGATGTTATTTTCTGTTCTGGACAGTTAAGCTGTTGACACCCTTCCGAGTTCGTGGCGAAGACTTAATCATCAAGACTTGACTTAACCGTGAAGTCCTCGTCATCGCTGAGTCCCTGGTGGTGTTTCTCTTCACCAGATTTAGTTCTGCAACATACTTTCCAACCATTTTCTTCTTCAAAAAATCCCGAAGTATCTAAAGAAGTTTCCCAGCCATAACCTGAGCCAGAAAATCCCACGTCACTGCCTGCAAGGAGTACCAAAAAAAAAAAAATTAACAATAATACTCCCAGATTTAAAGACATCGGACAAGGAAACACAAATCTAAGACATGAAAGGGTAACAGGAAATCAAAATTCCGGACAAACTTTTCAGCGGGTTGTCAGTCAGTCTGTTGATAATTAGTCCAACTCTTGCAGTGGTTTAGACAGTCAGTCAGTTAGCCACTTGAGCAGATAATCGGTTCTTAATCAATCCGTCAACCTTTTTAGTCAGACAGATCTGTAATTCAGTTTCTCAGCGAGTCAGTCCAGAGCCTAAGTAACCAACAGAAAAATACGCTCTGATTAAATTCTTGAATCGATTATCAAACGTGTGACGCTTGGCAGACCTCCGCAAGTGGCTTCCCTACAGATTCTCTGTTGCATTCGCTCTGCCTTGTCACACGGCACTCCCCCATTCCTTGGTTCAGGTGAATCACATTTCCTTTCACGTGCCCGCAATCCAATTCCACACGTCAAGCTACATTCTGACCAAGGACCCCAATTACCCCAGCCTCCGTCGACAGCTTTGAAATAAGACAACATACTGAATTAGAAAAGATATCATAATTTCACACCATCTGTGAAGCGCAACGAAACCTTGATTCTTCAACAAAGTAAGGTTTTATTACATTTGTGAAGAGATATCTTCACAGTACGGAGACTTTTGAGGGTTGAACCTCGAAACCTTGATTCTCAAAAAAGTAAGGTTTGATTACATTTGTGAAGAGACATCTTTACAATACGGAGACTTCTGGGGGTTGGAAGTTTTCCAGCAGGACTTAACTTCATCGATCGAACGTGGAACGAAGATAGAAACGAAAAAAGACACGAGGAGGCCAGCCTGACTAAATTTACCAATCATTTGATAAATCTTCTTATATGGTATTGATCAATATCGTTAGACGGCTTCTCACGCCATGAGGGACATTTGTATACATTTATATGCATTACCTTAAGAACGAAAAGGGCTAGTCATGCACACTACTTATTTCTTAGTATCGTTGACGTTGAAGATAACCACCAAACAGTATAAAATTCCGGTAAGTCGCCTTCCTAGTCTTTAGGTTTGTCAAAAACTAATTATCGGCAGAACGCAGGCTAATCACAATCTACACCTCAGTCCTTTGCCCTTAAGTAGTAAAGAAGTCATTAAACACTGGAAATAAAATGTTACTTATAGTCAATATTGGCTCACCTGGTTTAATGCACTTTTGTAATCTACAATATTCGTCTTCAGTTCTTTCACTCTCGTTGCACGGTGCACCACCATTGGTAGGCATTGGCGAGTCGCAAAATCGTTCACGTGACCGCTTTCCACGTCCACAGGTCACACTGCATGGCCACCAAGGAGTCCACGTTCCCCATGAGCCATCAACTAAAAAAAAGGAAAGAAATTAGGTGTTCAGAGATTATGACGTTGTTGACACGAGAATAGTCTGACAGTTGAAAGGATTCGCCTTGAAAGAAGTTACAACCCAGTCAAAACTTGTGCATCGTGAAAAATTTATTTTAGATTCTATTTCCAGTATTCGTTAATCCTCTTTATCCTTAAACCATCCTTATGTTTATTAAGGTTATTCTTTCTTTCTTGTTTGTCTAACCTTTAAAGGTTTCATTCAAATCAATCGTAGCTTTTATCACACTCCACCAAAAAAGAGACAAACAAACAAACAAATTAAAAAAAACACAGAAAAAAGCAAAACCAATTAAAATTAAATATAGTCACATCCACACTCATTAAATTCGTCCTATTCAACGCCTTAAAACTCCTCCTCCCGCGCCCGATAGAGAGGGTTGAAAAAAGAGTGCCATATAGAGAGAGTCCAGGAAATCTTGCTTTCTCGTACTCAGAACGCCATTTGGTATTAGCCCCTATTTAAGGCGCGCAAAGGAGTCACTGAACTTCAAATATGTGTTAACAGGCCCATAATTCTAATGGGAACTTTGTTTCTGTTTGTGTTCCGCTAAAGTATCATAACCACCATGAGCTAACCAAGTAAGCCAGTGAAGTTACTCGAAAAACAGGATTCATCAACTTCTTTCAATTGCAATTATCTGAGTAATATTGGATCACTCATACAGATCTGAGTTATACCAACGAAACACACTCCTAATATGTGATAGAAAAATTTAAATCACTCACAGACTTAATTGGAAAGACAAGTTGAAATTTAGTATATAACTAACCAGGGGCAGAGCAGCCATATAATTCCAGGCGGAGACAGGAAACATTTGCCAGAGATGTATCACCATCCAAAGAAAGTGGAAACTTTGGGTAGATACGAACCGAACGTGTTCTAATTTGAGGTTGGAGTGCAATACCGTTTACGGAGGCTATGCCAACATTTCCATCAAATGTCTGTACGTCGAAAGATAAAAGTAAGAAACGATAATATTTTTTTATTCATAAACTTTATCAAAACGTCATGGTTACCAAAAAGATGCGAGACCCAGTTCAAAGGTAAATCACACTCGCTTGATGTCGTTATTTTATCGCTGATATTAATCTCTCGGTCCAGCCCCTCTCCTTTTGGTATTTTTTTCTTAATGTAATTAAGGGCTGATTCCTGCCTTGTTTTATTTTATTTTTATTTTATCTATTGTTACTATTTTTTT